GAGGGAGAGAACTGATGTGATCGTCTGTAATTCTGTGTGTGTGTGTGTGTGTGTGTGTGTGTGCGTTTCATGTGATAGCCAAGCAGCTGAGGGAGATGGCAGCCTGTCCGTCTCTGTTAGCATCTTTACTTTGCCAAGGCAGTCCTGGCTTAGAGCCTACAGCGCACACACACACACACACACACACACACACAATACATTCCAGCATGCACTGACATACATCAGTACACTCCTGCACACACACACACACACACACACACACTGACACGTGCACTCGAGGTGGACTATATAAGGAACATACTGGAGGAATCGCAGCTGGTTCTACGAGGAACGTAGTAAACGACATTGAATCCAAATCGTCACCAAATTGTTTTAATTGGCGTTTCTCTTCTCTCCCCCTCACATCCAGACAAGTCCTGTGTGTGTGTGTGTGTGTGTGTGTGTGTGTGATGTCGGGGAGGCGTGTGTGTTTGTGTCTCTGGAACTGGAGAGAGTGAAAGACGTGAAGCGCTAAAGTGAGTTGATAGTTCAGAAACAGTAGCTGAAGATGGAGGCGGAGGATTTGTTTCAGAAAGAAACCTGCAGTTCCTCTAATGGCCACTAGAGTCTGGCTCCAGCAGTGAGTCAGTCCCCATAGACTCCCATGTTAAAATGTCCAACTTTACAGCAGAAATAAACATGTTTACAGCCTGGTACAAAAACTGTTTTGGTCTCCAGAGCTAATTTCCTCCTTCATGACACCTGTTTATATAACTCACCTGTTTACATTTTATTAAGGACTACAGTTATGGAGGATTGAGGGCGTGGCCTCTTTGAGTGACAGGTGGGTGAGTGTAAGTCTCAGCTCCACACAGGCCCCTACTCTTTTACAGTTTTTGGAGTAGCTGGGAGTTAGGGGGTGGAGTAAGGCACTGCCAACTTGGTGACGGTGGAGCAGCTCACTCTGAGCTTCAAAACCGCTCTTAAGAAACCAGTGGGTGACGTCACAGTGGCTACGTTCATCTTTATTTACAGTCTATGATAGAAACCACTAAAGACAAACAGTAAACAATGTTTTAATGCAGACAAATGTTGCGGTCACTAGAATCATCATACTGCTGTGATTTAATCGTAAATTTATGAAATTCTTTCGAGCAGATTTCTAAATATCGCGATATATATCGTACAGTTTACACCATGTATCGTGATGCAGCCTAAAAACATTGCGATTTTATTTATAGGCCTTATCACCCCTAAACATTATTAACTTATTTTTGTAGTTTTTCCCACCACTCCAAGTAATTATAATTCATTTGCAGAATAAATCAGACTGAGTTCTGACAACTGAGACTGTTCATGTTGCAGTGTCAAGCAATGACTGAAACCATAGTGCAGAGAGGAGACGGCTACATCTGTGACTTTACATACAAACAAGTGCAACATCATAAAAGCCGTTGAGGAGACACGGTGAACAATAATGGCATCTCGCTCCTCTGGAGGCTTTTTATCCCTCCTTCGATTGTGGTCTTTTGTTCGAGCAACACTTTCAATCATATTCCAGTCTTTATAGTTCGTTGGAGGACAGCTAGAGTTCAAAGTTGTGGCCAAAACATGGCCTTCAGTTGAAAAACAAATTGCAAAAAGGTGTTGTTTACCCCGGTGATGTGATGTGGTGGAGGTTTGCTCTTCACCTGCTCGGCTCACAGTGGCTGTTTTCTCTGTCACCATCCTGCTTCACAGTAAAGACTGATGGGTGTACGATGACAGCTTTAAGCTACAGGTGAACTCTCTTCTTTTACCTGCAGGCTCTATGACAACAGAAGTAGTTTTATTTTCCAAAAAAAGGGTCGTTCTGGCTGCCCTATGATTGAACCTGCACTTCACTCAGTTTTGAGATATTGAATTTTCGAGGCTTTTGATATTCTCCCTGAACATGATTTCCAACCGTCCAACATTCAGTTCAGTGCCGGCTCCAGAGGATGTAATCACGTAGTCTGGAATTGTTATAAAAAGTGGGATTAGCTTCAGCAAAGCCTCAGTCTGGCTCTGACAGTGGACGGCAGCTGAAAACAGGCAGCAGCATCAAACAGTCCACCGTGACCTGAGCTGGATCCCAGTCCACCCACACGGGCTCACAAAACTGGAATCAAAATTAAAAACTGGATTTGTTTTGACGCTGTTGGAAGAGAAAAGTAGTCGCACCCACATGTGAAAAGTAGTTTAGTCGGTTACCTGATGTTCAACTAGGAAAACAATATGTTGGATACACACATCAGTATCTCTTATATTTAATTTTGTTTATTTGGGATTTCTGTCAGTCTGACAACAGATTACTTTGGTGGGTTTTTACCTTTTACCAGGTAAACATGCAACAACACGTGTTACCAGAGTATTACTCTAATTTTGGGTAAACTTATTAACAGTGTGTGAATTATACAATAACGATTCCAGAGTGAAAACAAAGAGAGTCTCTATCATAGATGTTAATATCAGACAGGCAAAAGACTAACTAAACCACCACAGACACAAAAAGAATATTAACATGAAACAATAAACTCTATACTGATGTTAAAACTCATCTACAACAACTAATCCTCCATTATCTCACTGCTCATGACTGAGCGCCAGTGATTTCCTAATATTACATCATATACAAGATCTTATATTGGTAATGAAATGACAAGCTAACACTGGAAATGAAAGGATACGCTATCAACTAGCTAACATTAGCTAAACTGTAACTAAAAGCTAAAGTTAGAAACTACCTCACATTAGTTAGCTTAACTGTAACTTAAGGCTAAAATTAGAAACTAACCAACATTAGAAACAAGCTACCATTTGTTACCTAAACTGTAACTTGATACTAAAGTTAAAAACTAGCTAACATTAGTTAGCTAAAGTGTAACTTAATGCTAAACTAGCTAAACTATAACGAAAGTTAGAAACAAGCTAAAATTAAAGCTAAAAACTGTTGTTTTTACTTCTTTTTGGAAGGGGGTCCAAGTCTTAATCGGGGGGTCAGACCCCCTCAACCCCCCATAATTTGAACTGTGATATGTCATAACAGTTACTGTTATTATAGTAACTACGGCAATGTCGCGTCTTTATTATGTTAACCATGACAACCGATGTCCAATACACATACCGCCATAGGGGCGCTATTTCAGGAGACACACTGGGTTGTATTTGAGGGTAGGAACAAAAGGCTGACATACTCGTATGGACTGGAGGACTTGTTGGTACTGAATGATCCACCTTATAACTTGACTTTAAATGTCTCAAGTATTCATGTCATTTCATATCACTTAAACATGGATCACTGTATGAAACAGGTGAAATATATAATGTACATGTACAAACAAACACAACAAGAAGAACTGGTTTTACAGCTCTGCACACTGTTCTCAGTAACAGTCTGTTAAAGCTCCACCCTTTTCCTGATACTCTGCAGACGAAAGCAGGAAATACCATTTCATAGCTGGTTCACACTTACACACCTTCACACACCACTTCACTGAGAGGGATGTTTCCATCTTATCACAAACAAAGATTTTCCTCTGAGGATATTACCAGTGAAGATCAAGAGTCACTACAGAACAAAAGATGAAGAACATGATGGTTAGATTGAAATATGGAACCAGAGCTCATTGATCCTGAAGAGTCTCTGACCACTGAACCTTCAGACGTGGATGTCACATGATATCTGCTTCCTGTCATTCAAACATGGTCTAATGTGTAGAGAAGGTCCATGTTTGCCTTGTGAGAGCTGACAGGACTGGAGGTTTGTTCCTCCTGTTCAGGACAGTAACAATAACTAGTTTGTACAGATCACAGTCTGTGTCCATGTGTTCACAATCACAACGTGTATATATCTTGATCTCTGCTGTTTCTCTCTCATTAATTACTGATGATGTCTGTTCACTCAACATACTGATGATCTTCTGAATCTAATAAACGTCAAACTGTTCATCGTCACTTAGGTGTGATTCAGCAGCTCAGTGAAACACAGCATATGTTGGTTGTTCTGTCTTCCTGCTACACTTTGTCAACTTCCTTGTCCGATTTAATGCGAAACTAGAAACAAGCTAACATTAGTTAGCTAAACCGTAACTTATGGCTAAGATAAACAAGCTAACATTAGTTAGCTAAACGTACTTATGCTAAAGTTAAAACAGCTAACTTAGTTAGCTAAACTGTGACTTAACTAAGTTAGAACTAGCTAACATTAACAACTTTTGGGGGTCCAAGTCTTAATCAGGGGTCAGACCCCACCCCCCAAATCAAACCCTGAGTGTCCGATGGTGTGATTGAAAAACTTTAGTGAGTGATCCACCTTGTAACTTGACTTTAAAGAGCCTGTCAGACCTTCTTCCTGCAAGAGATCAACCAGCAGTCCACTTGTGATCAGACTGTGGGTGGCGAGAGGACAGATGATCTGAATGCCTCAAGTTTTATTTTCATTTCATATCACTTAAACATGGATCACTGTATGAAACAGGTGAAATATATTGAACATGTACATGTAAAACAAACACAACAAGAAATAACTGGTTTTACAAGCTCTGGCACACTGTTCTCAGTAACAGTCTGTTAAAGCTCCACCCTTTTCCTGATACTCTGAGACGAAGCAGGAAATACCATTTCATACTGTTCGTCACTCGTGAGAGACACGTTGATGCTGAGAAACATTTAAAGAGATTCACCTTTAAACCAAAACAACAGCTTCTACAGAGAGAGGAGGGAAAACAGGACGACAGCAACTTCAACCTGCAGCGACTCCACACACCAACTGGGAGTTTATAAGAGACAAGACTGAAAGTGAAAGTGTGAGGGAAACCACACCTGACTGACCTCTGTGCTGGCTTTGTGTCTTCAGCTTCACTCAGAGAGGACATGTCTTCCCGGTCAGAGGAGGAGCTCACCTGTCCTGTCTGCCATGACATCTTTAAAGAGCCTGTTGTCCTGTCCTGCAGCCACAGCTTCTGTAGAGACTGTCTGCAGAGCTGGTGGAGAGAGAAGGTAATACAACAGTGTCCAGTATGTAAGAGGAGATCATCAAAGTCTGAACCACCAGTTTCTTTGTCCCTGAAGAACCTGTGTGAGGACTTCTTACTGCAGAGACATCAGAGACCTTCAGCAGGGTCTGAGCCTCTCTGCAGTCTGCACTCTGAGAAACTCAGACTCTTCTGTCTGGACCACCAGCAGCCAGTGTGTCTCGTCTGTCGAGACTCAAAGACACACACCAACCACAGCTTCAGACCCGTTGATGAAGCTGCAGAGGATCACAGAGAGGAGCTCCAGAAAGCCCTGAAGCCTTTACAAGAGAAACTGAAGCTGTTTGAACGAGTTAAAGGAGACTGTGACCAAACAGCACAACACATCAAGGTCCAGGCCCGACACACTGAGAGCCAGATCAAGGAGCACTTTAAGAAGCTTCACCAGTTTCTACAGGAGGAAGAGGAGGCCAGGATCACTGCTCTGAGGGAGGAAGAGGAGCTGAAGAGTCACATGATGAAGGAGAAGATGGAGGCTCTGAGCAGAGAGATAGCAGCTCTGTCACACACAGTCAGAGCCACAGAGGACGAGCTGAGAGCTGAAGACCTCTCATTCCTGAAGAACTACAAGGCTGCAGTGGACAGAGTCCAGCAGCGCCCCCTGCTGGAGGATCCACAGCTGCCCTCAGGAGCTCTGATAGACCAGGCCAAACACCTGGGCAACCTGACCTTCAACATCTGGAACAAGATGAAGGACCTGGTCTCCTACAGTCCTGTGGTTCTGGACCCAAACTCTGCTCATCCAGAACTCATCCTGTCTGAAGATCTGACCAGAGTGAGATCTGGAGAGAGACAGAAGCTTCCTGACAATCCAGAGAGGTTTGACTCCTATGCCTTAGTCCTGAGCTCTGAGGGTTTTGACTCAGGGACTCACAGCTGGGACGTCCAGGTTGGAGAAAGTCCAGTCTGGTTTCTAGGTGTGACTACAGAGTCTGTTGAGAGGAAGGGGAAAGAAAAAGCTCGAGCTAAATCATGGATAATATGGTTTAATGAGTGTGAATACAGAGCACGATCTCCACCAGGTCTCTCCACTGTTCTCTCAGTGAAGAAGAAGCTCCAGAGGATCAGAGTGAATCTGGACTGGACCAGAGGAAAACTGTCGTTCTCTGATCCTGATACTGACACACACATACACACCTTCACACACACTTTCACTGAGAGGATGTTTCCATTCTTAATCACAAATAAAGATTTTCCTCTGAAGATATTACCAGTGAAGATCAGAGTCACTACAAAACAAAGATGAAGAACATGATGGTTTAAGATCTTTAATACTTTAAAATATCTTTGTGGGTGAAGGGAGGTGGAGGGAGGTGGAGGGAGGAGGAAGGAGGTGGAGGGAGGAGGAGGGGGGCAGGTTGAATGTGTAACAGCATCACTGTATATTTCTCTATATATAATGTATATAAATATCATTGTGTTGATGTGTGTTGATATAGTGTGTAATATGTCAGAGCTGTTGTCTGTTAGATTGAAATATGGAACCAGAGCTCATTGATCCTGAAGAGTCTCTGACCACTGAACCTTCAGACGTGGATGTCACATGATATCTGCTTCCTGTCATTCAAACATGGTCTAACGTGTAGAAGAAGTCCATGTTGCCTGTTGAGAGCTGACAGGACTGGAGGTTTGTTCCTCCTGTTCAGGACAGTAACAGTAACAGTGTTTGTACAGATCACAGTCTGTGTCCAGTTTGTTCACAATCACAACGTGTCATATCTTTGATCTCTGCTGTTTCTCTCTCATTAATTACTGATGATGTCTGTTCACTCAACTAACTGATGACTTTTTTCTTCATGAACTAATAAAGCAGTCAAACGTGTTCATGTCCACTGAGTGTGATTTCAGCAGCTCAGTGACAAACACAGCTGAATGTTGTTGTTCTCGTCTTCCTGCTACACTTTGTCAACTTCCTGTCCTAGCTTAATGCTAAACTTAGAACCTCGCTAACATTAGTTAGCTAAACTGTGACTTATGGCTAAAGTTAGAAACTAGCTAACATTAGTTAGCGAAACTGTAACTTATGGCTAAAGTTAGAAACTAGCTAACATTAGTTAGCTAAACTGCAACTTTAGGCTAAAGTTAGAAACTAGCTAATGTTAGTTAGCTAAACTGTAACTTAATGCTAAAGTTATAAACAAGGAGGAAACGATGGTAAAAATGAGAAACTGCATGTCCTGACAGCGGCATGACGCCTGTGGAGATGTGCATTGACTGAATACAGGCGGGTTTCAAGTCAGGTTGGATAATACATCTATTCTTGAAAAGTGTTGAATGATTCTCAGTGATTGTTTCCAGCGTTTGTTACAAATTGACCAGAGTAAAATTTAAATTAGCATTAAATCAGATGTAAATTAGCAGGAAATTGCACAACAACATGGAACTGACAGTCAGATCTCCAGCAACAAAAACCTGCATTTCCCTGGTTTATGTGTGTCAGCTGGGATATCTGTGTGTGTTTGTGTGTGTGTGTGTGTGTGTGTGTGTGT